ACCTGAAAGAGTGTTTCTCCTGGAGTAGGTAGCATAACCTGAGTGGTACAGACACCACGTTGTCTTTCTTGCTCGCTAGCTAGATCCAGTGCCTTTGAACAAATTCTACTGGTTTTATTGAGAATTAAGTAGAGAACAGTGAGATTGGTAAAAAAACTATTTTATTTATGATGGCATTATCTATATGAAATGGTCTGTACTGTAGGTCTGAAGCAAGGCTGCGCTTACACCTTTATGTAAACTGACTTGGTTGGGGTTTTTGATCAAGTCAGCAGAGCTACAGGACCAAACGCTTAAGGGTGCGCAGTCTGTCTGTCCACCTGATTGGTAACAGAAAATGCTACACTGAATGTAATAGCTTATGATATTGACCTCTTTAACAGTACCAATCATTCTGAATACTTTTTGAAGAAGAGTAAAAGTGTGTTTAAAAAAAAAAAAAAAAAGACTAAGCAAGGTATTTCCATTTGCTGATTAAAGGATTTGATAGCATGCATTGACTTAAATCAGGTATAGTCACTCTTCACTTAAAACGTAACAAATAGTGGTAATAAAATACTAACCATGTAGCTTTCTGAAACAGAGGGAAGAGTGGGTAGCGGTAACTAAATGTCTACTTTAACTGAAGAGAGAGATTGTAAGAGTAAACTGTAAAGTGTACATAATACTTCAGTCCTACTTCAGTGCTACTGTTTCAAGTGATTATTCATGCTTGCCTGGGCACTTCATGTTTTGCCAGGCATCACGAAGGAGATCAATTTGAAAAGCTGAAACTGTTCACTATTAGATGACTTTCCCTGAGCTGTAACTTGTGTTTTGAATGTACGGCTTTATTGAGTGTCAGTAAACTCAAATGTTCAAAGTAAGAACTGTGTTTCAGAAGAAACACGACCAACTGGTGTAGTCATTGCTGGGCATGGTGTCCAGGCAGGGCTGTCAGTAACACTTCAGTGTTTCTCACATCTGTTGAGTGTCACTTTACTGCCCGCGCGCGGGTGTTGTGAGGCTTTCCAGCAACTACTGCGGTATTACATGAGAATTTTAAAGTGATGTTGATATTGCTTCCCTTCCAATTAGTCGGGAACCCTTCTGGGCAGTTACTGATTTCTTAATCTTACTGTTTAATTACTTTTGTAATGTTCTGCTTTTGATCTGGCACAAACAAATCTACCTACTAGAAATGAATATGGGAGCAGAGGTCTTTGGGCTGTGTTTTACGGCTCCATAGCAGTTCCGTGCAAACACACGGTAAATTAGTCTCTCTCTTCTGAAGAGTTTGCCCTCTAGCAAAATTTACATTCCGCTAAAACTAACATAGTTCTTAAGTAGAGCTTTTTATGTGCTGCTAAGAGTTTGAATTAGAGAGGTCATAGTTGGTTTTTTGTGATAATGCTGTTTTCTGTGATAGCACTATGTTATAACGGAGATTTTTAGTTCTGTATGGTAACAGGAACTGAACGGTAGGATCCTTTAGACAGGCTGCACAGAAGGAGGTGAACTGAATTTTGCATTCAAAAAGTGATTTATTTTCCTGGTGTGGAGAATGTAGTTTGTTCTGTCTCCAAATAAATTTATTTGCTCTCTAAGGACTAAGTATGTATTTGAAAATTTCCAGTTATGAATCTTAATGAAAATAATCCTTAAAAACTCAGCCCTCTGTCAGAACTTTTTTTGAGTCAAATTATTTTTATTCATTCTGAAGAAAAGAGGCCTTGAGTGTAAGAAGAAATTCCTTTTTCAGATAGCAGGGGTTTTCACCATTTCTTAGCTTGAGTAGATCCAGAAGTCATTAATGTTGGGTTAGCCTTCTGAATATATAACAAGCTATGGTAAAAGGCTTCTAAAAGTCACGTGGTTTCCACAGTAAAATTAATCTAGTTTATGTTGAGACAATAACTTGTGTTTGATAAAGCATATCTTTTAAAAATATCACTTGCACACTAATAATTTTATGATCTCTGGCTAGCAGTGGCTTTTAAATACTAAGCTTAAAATTTCTTTTGTCCCTAATGCATTTGATTCAGTGACTAAACCCTGCCAGACACAGTGCAGGGATGAACTGTGTTTAGCTTTCTCATCAATCTTCTGAACTGCGTAACTTATTTATTATCCACGTTTTAACTGTGTTTAATATTATTTTTGCTACTTGGCAAGAAAAGCTTGCTGAGCAGTTCTGTGTTTTCTGTATTAGTATCAACAATTTTACCGTTTCCGTCTTGTAGAATCATAATATGGTATTCATCTTCTACATGTACACAACAAAAATTTCTGCCTTTTGCCCTTGACTCTTTGGGCTGTAGGTTTCTTAGTGTGCTCTTGCTTTTCTCTTTGTTATTTCAGTGTTTGGCTTCTTGTTATATATCGGTTTTGCTTTTACTCTATTTTTGTAAATTCATGTTTTTCCTCAAAATTATTTTTCTGAAATCAGTGTGTGTTTTCTTACTATTTTGAAACAGCTTTATCTTGTCCTAACTGTGGCATTATCGTTTAGAATATTACCTTAAGTATTCTCACATGCTTTCCATCTGTAACTTTCAGAAAAGTATGAATTTGTTCTCTTAGTGGATTAGTCAGAATTGATTTCCATTAGTTTTTTCTCAAAGGGCAAATATGCTTAAACATTAGTAGTTTTCATTTGCATATGTATGTTTGTGCTATTTTATGTATGGCAATTATAAGCATAAGCGGAATCTAACCCACCATTAATTTTTAATCCCATGATCCATTCCTGGCAGATGATCAATCCCTATGATCAGTTTTGTGTCAAGATGGGCAAATTCCATGAGAATCCCAATTACAATGCTGTTACTTTTGAGTTGGAAAAATATTTAATAATTTTCAGAAATTCCAGAGGTATTGTAGCGCTGGCAACCTAAGACTTGCAGCATTTGTAATGCAGTGTGGTAAAATGGTGCAACTTTTCTTCCCCAAATTTCCAGTGCTTTGTAAATGGTTGTGTAAGGAACTGGTCATCCCTTTGCTAATGTAATTCTTCAGCAGATAGTGACTACTTGCATCGTCTTCTGCTTTGTGAGTTAGATCACTGAGTTATAAAGAATCAAGAAAATACAGTTGTCAGTGTCTCCAAAATGGACTACTACTGTTCTCCACGTTTTGCTCATTCAGCCATCTGATGGTTAGTGATCTTTAACATTTTAGTCATAGTATTAATACTAGATCATACATACACTTATAAATAAGCAAACTTTATTTTTTTCATGCCCCAGTATTTGATTCTCAAAGAACTCAAATATTCTTGGTTGAAAGTTATCATTTGTCCACTAAGGAACTTTTTTTTATTATTCGTTTACAATTCATCTTACTATTATAACTTGACTGGATTCTTTGAGAGATTGATTTTTCTATTGGAATGGAAAGGAGCCAAACCCGATGGGTTTTGTTCCAAAGGGAGAGAATAGTGCTTCATGAAATCCTAAAGCTTCTACTTCATGTCCTGTTTACTGATTTGGAGGAATGAGGAGAGGGATTAATTTAAGAACTTGGCCACCTTTTTCTGACAGAGTAAGAATGCTTGGGACCATTTGGATGGAGGGTTTTGTCTACTTTGCAGATTTTTCTGTAAAGTTTATGGAAGACAGATCCTGTAAGTGCAACCCTTGTTATCTTTCTGTGTCCAGTTGTTGCCCACTGGTGTCTGTATGATAGCCCAAAGGGGTTTATTAGTTTATTTAACTTTATGCAAGACTTAGGAAGAACAACTTTTCTGGATGGTTCTTTTACTGGGGGAAACGTAAGACTTCCAAGAGTGGGTTTCTTCCTTCCCTTTCAGCCAAGTGGATCTAATCTTGCTTACTTACTGGACTGCTATATGGCCATGCCATGTTTCTGGAGTAGCTGTTTTGCAGGATTTGGTGAAGAGTTTGTGAAACTGGCCTCCAGCTGTAGTCTGGAGCTGAAGCAGTAATGTCCCTATGGGAAATACAGAATTTTATTAGTTGCTTTTTTATAATCTGTTTCAATAACCATTTTGCTGTGTCTGAGGCTATTACCATGAGGAGCTAACACCATATACCAGCGGATACAAATTCTCTGGGAAAATGTTAATTAAAGCTAATTACAGTTAATTCTGTCTTATTTACATGATTTCAGTTACCTGTCTAGATAGTTTTAGTGGGAAAATGCAAAAATTGCAAAAACTTAGTAGGCCAGTGTAAATTAGCTTTGCGTCAGCAGTGCACATTCTTGAGTAGGGAGATGGCTGCTGCAGCTGCGATCCATAACTGTTTTTTGACTTACAGTGATGTTCAGTAAAACACTCAGTGCCTGCAAAAACATAAGCAGATAAACCTTGTTTTTCAGATAAATGGGGTTTAGTGTATTATTTTTTTACTTTTTTTTTTTCACTTACGAATTTAAATACAATTAATGAACATGCTGATAGGTGAAATTAACCCTGTTACATGTAGCTCATTCTTTCTTTCTAGATTTCTGTCTTAATTTTTGTTGGTTGTTTATCTTTTATTTTTAACAATTCAGAAATTCATCTGGAGTGATTACTAAAAATAGTAATGTATGTAATAAGGCATTTCCTTTTTCTGGGAAACTGTGATTCCCTTGCAAAACTGGAAAACTACATCTGAAGCACTGGAAATGGCAGGTGGGGGGAGGAGGGGGGGGAGGGAAGAAGAGAGGAAGAAGGCTTTGGGGGAATGTAGTCCTTTTAAAAAAAAAAAAAAAAAAAAAAAGGCAACACTATATCAAAGAGGACATGGTTGATTTCCTTGACTGATTTCTTTGAACTATTTGGTGCATTTACAACACAAAAAGTGTTTAAGGAATTGTTTTGAAACTTATAAAATGTTACTTCTGTGCAAGCTGGAAACTGTCTTAAGCAGCAGTATTTATTAAATTGACAGCTGTTTAGGAAATGGGATCTCTAAAAATACCACTTTAATTTCCTTACTGATTTTCTTTCAATTATATCATGTTTGGAAGAGGGTGGGAAAGCACTAAAAAGAGTTTTCTGTTACTTTTCTTAGGTTTTCAGTACTTACTCTAATGAAGACTATGATAGACGTAATGAAGAAGTTGACCCTGTGGCAGCCTCAGCCGAGTATGAACTTGAGAAAAGGGTGGAAAAAATGGAAGTGTTTCCTGTGGAAATTGAAAAAGGTACAAATCAAACACAGAACATTTGCAAGAGATACTACGGGCACAAAAGATAAAACCATTTTAAACTGTATTTTCCCTGAATCTAGGTCTCGAATTTTTGAATGTGTGTTCAGACTTTTGTTTGTGGCTAGTTCTGTTGAATTTAGTGAACTTTAACTGGACAGGTCCCTAGTAAGTTCAAATTGTCATACTTAATTGAAGCTAGAAAGGCTACATTACTGAGTGACAGATCTGCACCAAAATATGTACAGTTCATAAATCTTGCTGTCTCCTCCATATGCCATGAAACATTCAACCTAACAGGCAGTCATAACTACGGAATGAAAAGGCTTTAAGTAGTATCTAGATAGAAAATATGTTTTCGTCTTTGGTTTTTTGTTGTTTTTTTTTTTTAAGTGACTTTTCATATACTTTCTGGTGGAAGGACTTGGAACATTTTGAAACAGCTCACTACTACTATGTGTTATGTCTTGTGTTATGTGGCTAATAGATTTTTTTGAATCCCTTAGGTGACAGTGGTCTGGGCATCAGTATTATTGGAATGGGAGTTGGTGCTGATCAGGGACTGGAAAAACTAGGTATCTTTGTAAAAACAATAACAGATGGTGGAGCTGCTCAGAGAGATGGACGGTGAGTTTTTCATTGAATTGATTATGCTTTTTAAAAATTTCTAACTGAGCCCAGTCATTTCCATTGGATATGCTAAATACTGTCAATAAAAGTACAAAAGCTGAATGCAGCTCAATAAATATTACATTCCTGCTTCTTTATGTTAATTTTTTAAAAATCAAGTGGTTTTATTTCATACAGGACATTTTTGCAAAATAAGCATAGGTCTGCTTACAGCATATATGAAAAAAGCTTAGAATGCGCCTATGTTTAACAGTGCCAGAAAATCATGTTGACACCCCAGAACATCAATCAGTGTGTAAATAGTATAAAAATATCAAGGCAAATACTCTGTAAATTTCAATTGGTGATCTGCATAGTAACTGAGGATCAGGAGATTGTTTTTAAGCAATGAGTTTCTTACCACTCAATTTCTCATGACTCAGAATTTCTCATTGTAAATACTAGTGAGTTTTAAGTGATACTTGTCATGTCAAAAATCTGTCAAGTCAAAATATTTTTGTTGAACTGGTAGCTAAGGATTTTTTTTTTTTGATTTTTTTTTTTTATTTGCAGAATTCAAGTAAATGATCAGATTGTTGAGGTTGATGGCATAAGTCTAGTGGGAGTTACTCAGTTCTTTGCAGCCACTGTATTAAAAAACACCAAAGGCACAGTGAGGTATGTATATTTTCTATGAAACAGTACTTTCTTTTTTTTGTCATTTTTCATTATGGAGAATACAAAACCATAATCTGCAACCTTTACAAAGATTATGTTGGAGGCAACAGTATGGCAAACTAATTTCTTAAGCATATCTTAAACTTTTTCCTATAAGGTAATTTGTTTTTTTCTGTAGGTTTCTGATTGGGAGAGAGAAGCCAGGGACTCAGAGTGAAGTAGCCCGCCTCATTAGTGAGACCTTAGAGCAAGAGAGATGTCTGTATGAGCAGCACTATGTTCATGATGATACAGAGCAGGTAAAACATCATATGTACTTACATATTTTTTAAAGTACATGATTACCACTACATGCAATAACTTCTGCAAATGGAATAAATGTTTTTTGAATCAAATTGAAGCAAGAAAGGATAAAACAGGCAACTTGTTAAAAACAGAAAATACAAACTTCATATATTACTATTATCAAGGCACATGATTATCACTACTTGCTATACTTCCAATTTATCAACAATCCAAAAGATATTTTTAAGTATCAGCTGTGGCTTGTTTTGTGCACGGCTTACTTAGCTCTCTTTTGTAGAACTTTTATGAAGGTGTTTGCAAGTCATCTTTAAAACTTACCGTAGATATAAGAAACTAAAAAGGAGTAGTAACTAGTTGAGAAAAGTTTTGCAACTGTTTGGATTCCTGATTGTGTGGTTTTGTTATTGTTGCTACCATAATGCAAAGTGTGTGTGTGTGTGTTACAGAATGTCATGATTTTCCCATTTTATCAGGATGATGACTACGATGATGATGACGATACATACGAGTCACATTTACATGGAAAATCTGTAGAAGTTTTTGATCTTCCTGAAAACGAAGATATCTGTTTACCACTGGATATGGATTCAGCACAGTCTCTTCTTAAATTTAAAGAGGTATGGTAGCAGTTTCTTAAATATTCTTTGTGATGCACTGGGGAGCATCTGAAGCTTGTAAGACTTAGATATAATCTCCTTCATGTCCCCCTCACTGTGGTTTTGGGTTTGTTTTCCCAACATTGCCAATAAAACTCTGTGGTAAACATTTCTTGAAATGTAGGTCTTCTGTAATTTTCTCATCCCAGCTTCCCTATACTTATTTATATTAAATGGGCCTTTGATTTAAATTATATTTATAAAACCCCCTTGGAAACAGACATTAGAACCCAGCACCACCTCCCTCCTTGTTGTGGTATATGAACATTCTATTAAATAGATATGATGCTTCTCTTCGTTCTTCTCTGGTCCATTGGACTTTGCGTTTATTTGCTGCATAGTAGAATGGCTTTAGCTGTGGGGTGGAGCATGGGGGAACAAGCATGCCCATTCTGAATGGTCTCAAGTGTTGTGGTTAGATGATCTTCAGGAAGATAAGAAACACACATCTAATCTCTTGCTGTAGTCCCTGAGGCCTTCTGGGAAATCTCTGTGTACATAAAAGCACTTGGTTCTGTAGATAGGCTTTTTTTTTTTTTGGTTGGAGGTTTTTTTTTCAGGTGATCCCTTATGGGGTTTTTTTATGGTGTATTTTTTTGGAAGGAATGAATCTGTAAACTCAGTAGGGCGTTCCAGACTGTGAATCCCAACTTCACATAATTGGAAAATTGCAGTCCCTTTTCTCAAGGTTTTTATAAAAGAGCGTATTTGCTTTCTTCAGGTCTGTGGAATTTAGTCGGGATTTAAGTTGTGCAGTCTTTGGCATTTAGGGATCTGGGCTTCTTTGGTAGATTTAAGTCCCTGACATTGTCACTCTGGAAGAGAAAAATATACTGCAAAGAAAGTGTTTTGTCAGATGCCATATGTGCATACATCAGCTTATTTTTATAAAGGATCATTATTTTGCAGACCTCCTTAAATTTGTTCTCTTGATAACATTGATGATGTCATTGAGGAAGTTGAAATTTCAGGCTATTGATCACTAGAGAACATTTACAATTTTTCTAGATTAGGAAGCATAGCAGCAGGCTATGGCATCTTTTCATAAGCACTGTATTTACTTGGGATAGGATGAAATTCTCAGCTAGAATCATTACTATGCTGTTATTAACATAATCTGAATAAAGAATAGTCACAAATTCATTTGTTCTAATGTGTGCTTGGTGCACTATACCTTGCCAAAAAAAAAAAAAAATCCCCCCAGGGTTACAGATGGAAAGTGAGGTACAAGAAATAACTACTAATAGTTGTGTTTAAAAAAAAAAAAAAAAAAAAAAAAAAAAAAAAAAGTGCTTTTGCACTCTTATCTGTGCTGTTTTCTTAAGACTTGTTAACAATAATCTCTGCGTTTGGCTTAGGTGTAGCCTTTATCCACTTCTAATGATCCTATGAATATTTGTGGTGTAAAGCATAAGACTTAATTCTAAAACAAAGTGAGCACATTTATTTGTAAGTGCTGATAAGTAAAAATATTTAGTACTGTTAAATCTTTACTTGTTTCTGTGTACTAGTTGTCATCGTAAGTGCATTGCTGTCTTTCCCTTCTACTGGCACACTGAAACATTATTTTAATCTTCTCACTTTTCTTAATGTATAGACAACAATGTGGGATTTTTAAATGTAGGTGGTCATGTATTGATTTTTGTAGCAAATAGAACACCATGGAACTTTTGGGGTTTCAGTTTACCTGTTTTTTCAATAGGAGCTCAAGATCACTTCTCCTGTAATTGACAAATAATTAAGTTGACTTTATGCTACTGTAAAAATAGGAAGAAGGAATGAGGAAGAAGGGAATCGTGGACAAATACTTAAAACTAGCATTTCAAGTGTCATTTTGTGTGTGCTCATGCAATTATTTTTTTTGTTTGTTTCAGCTACAATTAAAGCATGCAGTAACAATAGCTGAAGTGAATCAACTGAAGGATAAAGTAAGTTTTCAAAGAATCTTATTATTTGATGAGGGGGTTTTTTAAATTTTTTTTTTCTACCAACAAAAACCAATTATACCAAGAAAAGGCTGAATGCAGAAGCCAGCAATCTGTTTTAGGCCTCAGGCTCTATGTACTCTATGCTAGACAGGCATTTCTAAGCTGAAGAGCTGGGCTCAAATTAAAAACAAAACAAAATCCCCCAAAACCAACACAAAACAAACAAATAAAAAACCCAACCCCAAAATATCCCCTGTGCCATTATAAAAATGAATGCTTCAGTGTTACTGCTTGGAGTAGAACTGAATATAGTGGACTACTGTATTAAGCAAACTCCCAAACAAATATGAGAACATTTTCAGTGGATAGAACATGTCTTATCTGAGTATAGATTTGGCACTTACAGACAATGATTTGTGGCTGACTT